TAAAAATATTATAAAGAAATTATACTTATATTATACACAAATCAATTGGAATCAATTACAGCTGCAGCTGCTGCAAGTGCAACGAGAGCTGAATGCAAACGTAATCATTGGGAAAATTGTGTGTGCCAAACAATTTCGACACAGACAAAAAAACTAATTGAGCAAAAGGTGAGTAGCATGTCAGAGGTGCATGCTGCATGCTGCATGCAACGCATGCAATGCGGCCCTCGCGGCGTATGCGTAACATTTAGCCCAAGGCGTAGGAAGGCGGGCGAACACATAACATACAAGTGTGTGCATGAGTGTATGTGTGTGTGTGTGTGCATTGTTGTGCACTTCCTGCTTAAATATATATGTATATATATACAAATATATATAGTTATATATCCATCTGTCTCTGCTGCTTTGCATTTAAAATATTTTTGAAAAATGTTTCTCCATGCGTTTGTTGTTGTTGTTGTCAAGGTTGTCCACACATGGAACTAATATCCATGTTTTGCGGCTTTAATTAAATACTATTAGTGCAGAATTAAGAGAGCCACACAATGTCAAGCTCCAGTTAGTTGGGCCAGCTCGCTCTGACCCTGAGCATGTGACTGTGTGTGTGTGTGTGTGTGATGAGCTGTCAGCACGCCTCCAAAAAAGAAAAAAAAAATAAAATAAACAACGAAGCTAACAAAACAAATGCAGTTAATAAAGCACAAGCCCAAAACAGAGATGAGACTGAGACTGAGACTGAGACAGAGACCGAGACTGAAATGAGAAGAATTGCTGGTAGGTGTTGCGACAATTGTTAAGGAAGGAAGTCGCAGTGCGGTGCGGCGCGGCGCGGCTCGACTTGGCTTCAGTCAGTCAGCGAATGCAGTGGGCGGCAATTAAAGTGCAGCCAGAAAAACTTGTTGCAGTTGCAGTTGCAGTTGCCCCAGCCGTTGCAGTAGCAGCCGAGGCGCCCAATTATTCAGCCATAAATGTAAACAATCGCATAAAAGCGCCTAAGTAGCAAAGCCAGCCCCCTCTCCTCCCACCCACCAAAAAAAAAAAATCTAGAGAGAAGCTACAGGCAGACAGACACGCTCGGCGCTCTCAGTGTATGAAGTGTTGAAAATGCAACAGGCCGAACTCAAAAAACTCAAAAAAAATATATGCACAAATTTAGTCTCACCCCCCTAACCACCCCCTGCTTTGCCCACAAGCAAGCCAGCCAGAACTAAGCGAGAAGCATCTGAAAAACAACGCAAGTCTCTTAGACAATAACGTGGCAATTTAATGGGAAATGTCAGTCACAAGGCGTACAACAACAACAGTTGACTTCATTTTCTCAGAAGCAACAAAAGAAAAACTACAACAACAACAGCTACGGCTACAACAATATGCATGAACAAATGAGTTTTCGTGCGCGCAGACATAAAAAAGGTCGTGGCAAAGTTACAAACGCAATGACAGCAACCAAATACAACAACAGCAATGACACAAAAAAGGCAATGCGCAATGCACAAAATACAAACAACACAATCGACACACATTTATATATATATATATTTATATATATATCCGTTAAGCCATGTCAAAGTGCATGACTGCCAAAAAGACGGAAAAAAAAACAAAAATCTAAGCTAAGCCCCCTTCACTCAAACTTTTGCATATATAACGGCCATGCACACATACCTATATATATGTATATATAAATATATTTCTAAAGCTTCTATAGATTGGTGTCACACTTTTGTCCACACATTTCATTCTTTAGGCCTGGCGAAAAAAAAAAATTAAATTTCTTTTGCTTCTCTATTCACAAATGCGCGGCGCATTTTTATGAGCTGACTTTGACTTATATCTATGCATATATATACACATATATCTCTATATATATAAGCTGTCGAAGTACAATTTATGTTCGTTATTCATTAGCCAAATGTCCTCGGCTCACAAAAAATGGGCTAATCAGATGCGCAGCAAATGCAAATTTGTAGACAAAGCAAACAAATATTCTAAATTAATACTATTACGAAACTTTCGAGAACATCGATCGATGCCTCGAAGACCTTTAAAAGGCTTCGCCGTGGATTAAACAAAAAAAGAAACTAAATATAATTTTTTT